TACAGAACATTAAATAATTTACTTAACAGACATTTTTTGAAAACCTTTGCAGCTCAGCAGCCTAACAGATGAAGATTTTCCTTTTGGAACAACAGGTCCTACATTCAATACATGGTGTGAATTCTATGACTTACTGGCACATACTGTACTCCACTGATAGGTACCACCTATGGAATTCTACTAACCCAACACTACAGAATTATTTGAAACTCATGTATAGGATGGAAACTTTTTCATTATAAAAAGACTGAAATAAACCACAGCTATTCATTTCCTAAATCGAACGTTACTTATTCGGTAGAATCCTGTGGATTTCTTAATTACAGACTTCACACATGATCAGATCAACATATGATAGATACTTCAACGGATGCACACTCACCCTATCCCTTTGTGTTATTTTACTATAAAAATACTTTTCTACAACTTTTAAAGTACATTAGGAAATTATACACTCCTTTATAGTATGAAAGGAATAACACTTATATACCCTGTAATTTTTTCTTTACTCATACTTTAAATGTTTTGTTTGAAGAGTACTTGAGTAACATTTTCAAATGCTTTCATAATACAAAGAAAGGTAGTAATTAAATGGTTTGTATTTCATATAATATTCACATTTATCAAAAAACTATTTTACTAAATTTTTGCACTATTTGCTATTCGATTTTGCATTTATACAGACTTAAGGACATTTAAAACTGTGTCAAGATTATTTACATCAAAATCAAATTTATTTCATATTTTTAAAATGTTTCTTAAATTTAATAAAAAAGTTAATATGTATATTAAACCCTGATTACTCATTTTTATCATACAGAAGAGTTCAATGCACAATAAGTAACTATTACTGTACCAGGTTGCGTTTCCAGTAAATTATATTTCGTATTAAAACGGGTATTCTTGAGATAATAATAAGAAGTCGTAAGGACAGGTACTTGTCGATGGCATTGGATGTCAGTGACTCCATTTTGCGCAGATTGCCAGATGTTAAAATTCATGATTCGTTGGACTGTAAGCCGGTAGGTAACTAATCAAGAAACTCGCCTCGTAAGCTGTAGGTCTTTATTTTCGATCCCTGAAGAGGTTGTAGGTATGTGGTGTTAAGTAGTCACAAACTAGGATGAAACAGCTGTCCAGTGCTCCCTAGCTTTCAGTGGTTTTCTAACTCATGTCAGTTCATGATGAAATCTACGCTGAAATCAATTAAATCCTTCCAACCCAACAATGGAAAATTAAAATTAAGAAATCTGTATATTTGTGTAGACTTAAGGACCAACTATAAAATGACCACTGAAAAGAAAGAGGACATGCTTTAGAGACCAATGGAAAAATTATGGATAGTAGTTTTCGCTTTGATCACGAACTGACTTCAGTTAGAGTGCCATTGGAAACCAGTGAGCACTGGACAACTGTTTCGACCCAATTAATAACTCTTTAGCGGTGAGCGTTCGTGATTCCACTAGAGACGGAGCCAGTATCTTCAGGTTAGGAGGCGACCAATCAGTCACTGGGACGAAACTCAGTGCCTCATTTCTCGCATATGTGTATATCATCAATTCTACGACCTCATGAACTCTAACTTCTGCCAATTCACAATATTTAGCACAACCACCAGCCGGCATCATTGGTGACTATTTTTCATCCACCCTCTTAATTTGATGGACTCTGCCGGTCATAACTTCTCACTAGTGCTTCAAGCTGGTCAGTAATGGGAGCGTGATAAATTAATTAGTCTGGATTCCATGCCAGTGGCTGAGTGGTCAGTGACTAAGCGCCCTGGGTGGGTACTGATGAAGAGTCCACAACTAGAGCGAAACAACTATCCAATACTCCGTAGTTTTCAGCAGTTCTCTAACTGAAGTTAGTTCTTGATCAAACATGAAATCAATCGAATTCCTGCAGACCAAAACGCGGTCAATCGTTGTTTCTATTATAGAAGAGATATTTTTATTGTAATATTTTATTGTCAAAGAAAATAAGATATTAATTGAGCTTCATGAAAATTTTTCTACATGAGTACACCGTTTTCTCTAAAATATGGGTTATAGGGTATACATATTAATATGTACCGAAAAGCTTACGTCTCAAGGGAACAAACGCTTACAATAGTGCCATTGTCAGGCATCTCCTTGATACGGGTCATGAGGTGGAAATCGCAAATTCCTTCAAAATTGTCGATAGACAAAAAAAGCTCAGTTCTCCTCAAGTTTGCCGAAGTAATCTCTATCAAACTAGTGAAACCTGATTTATGTGTTCAGAAAGAAGCAGTTATCAGTCTTTCTTTACCCACCTGGTAACTGAATGTCTTTATTCTCTATTTCATTTGATTACGTATTCTTTGGCTTTAACCTCACTCCCCTTGATAAAGTGTAATTTTGCTTGTCTCTTGTTTCTGTGATTTGAGTTCAACTGGATACATTGTCACCCAATGTTTAAACTTGAACTCCATGTGTAAAAGCTACATAGGCATAATTTTCTGAACACTGTTCACTAAGTACAGAACCTCCTGTTAACTGACATCATGTAAAATTTGCAAGTATGTTAACTTTTCTGTACATAAATTTAAATAATTTATTTAAGCTGTAAGCAGATGATGAGAAGTCAACGAAATAAATGATGGTACCATATTATTCTGAACGAACTACTGTTGTTCTTGTTTTATTCAAACGCATACATAATCGTTGTGACGAATGCTGTTACAACCTGCTGAGGATATTTTTCTCCATTTTCAGTGAAATACTTTAAATAATCGAATACAGATACTAAAAAAATCTAAACCTTATTTATTTTAAAGAATCACTGAAATGCAAAGGTATCCTATTTTCTCCTGACAAACTTTTCTGTTTGCTTTATACTTCTGGTGATTGTTTGGCGTGGATCAAAGTTATAGCTGAATACCATTTTCATATGACCTATGTAGTTAATATTGGAAATCTTCTGCACTCAGTCAGCATAAAGAACAAGTTACGGATTTTCAACACAAATGTGAAGACAGTTCTTCTATACGCGTGCCTCACGAAAAACATTTCCAGTAGGTTACAGACTTTTATCAACAACTACCTTCGCTTCATAATGAAGATCAGATAGCTAATCAGAAAGAATTCGCAACAAGAAACTCTGACATTAAACCAACCAATTGCCTACTGCTCAACAAATATGAAGAAGAAGAAGATGGAGATGTAATGGGCACACACTCAGGATACCACTGAATGACATCGCGCGCCAGGTGGACTCTCGAATGGAATCCGAATAGGAAGTCTGAGGTTGACATGGAGGAGATTGTGTGCCAAGGAGGAGATGGGAGATTATGGGCAATCGTGGGTTCAGCTGAAGAGGACAGCAGAAAATAGCAGAAAGTTCAGGTGTGTTGTTGAAGCCCTGTGTTCCACTCGGAACCCAATAATATGCAGTTATTAAGTAAGAAATAAAACAGACCTCCAGTTGACTTTATATGTCCAAAACTTTTGTGTACAAAAATTGAGCACCATCTTTTTTCTGAAATTTTAGAACATGTATATTAAATTTGTGTCCTCCTTAAGACGTAATTACTGTGTGACGTTTTTTTAGATTAACTGACAAAATAACGTGTTAATTGTTATCTTTAGAGAGAACTCTTTCAGCTTCACCTATTCTCCTTGTATACTGAGATTTATTTTTTTTATAAATCTCAGAGAAATTGAAATGAATACTTCAAACGTGCCATCTGACAAGCTGATCCCAACTTCTTCAGGTGAACAATCAAATATATCTGTTTTTCACTCGGCGCCCAATTTTTGTGCAACTATTCGGTCAAATCTTGATCAGAGTACGTATAAACTACTACTCATTTGTTAATAAACTTATCTAAAAGTACTGTAATTCCACAGGTGTTTGTTTATTGGATACATCATACCAGTAGATAAATTATACTCGAAACGTCATCCAGTAAATAATACTGTTTCTCTGTGTAATGTATTCAATAAACTAATTAATATGCAACTACATACTACCACAGTGCCAAAGTTTCATACATACATTGATTAGATTTGTGGTCTTCTTGTTCAAAGATTGAATAATAAACTCCTCATAGGGCTTTCAAAGACTGAAGCAAGATTTGCAAATCTTACCGGGCTTTCAATATTTAATACCTGAGAAATGAAACCATTCCTAATTATCTAAGCCTACGAGCTCCCATTTCAACTGGCAAAGTTAAATCAGTAATAGGATTATTATTATTATTATTGTTCCCTAGGGTTCCGAGTGGAACATAGCACTTCAACAGCACATCTCCACTTTGTTGTATTTTATGCTGTCCTCTTCAGCTGAGTCCATGATTATCCATAATCTCTCATCTCCTCCTCACCACACGATTTCCTCAATGTCAACCTCAGATTCATGCCCGGCTCGTCATTTTCCATTCGGGTTCCACTCGTGCGATGTCATTCAGCGATCTCCTTAGTGTGTGCCCAATACATCTCCATTTTCTTCTACATATTTGTTGAGCAACAGGTTCTAGATTAGTTTGTCCTTAGAGTTTCTTGTTGATAATTCTTTCTCGCCGGCTGGCCATTTGATCTTCAGTATGAAGTCAGAGAAATGGGTAGCTGTTGATAAAAGTCTGTAACCTGTTGGAAATGCTTTTCAATAGGAAAACTAGGAAAATAACAGTACCATAATTAATTGTTTGTCAATCTTTTTACTTGGTTAGCTATAATTGAGTCACCCGGTACTGGGCCGTGAGTCATATTTTCTGTGTGAGGCCTTTTGATATAATTTAGCTGTCCGGAGTAGGAGATAGTGGAACAGGATTTGAACCCACGTCCCTATTGCAGGTGAAAGTTGAGTACTTAAGCTAGTGAACACAAATGGTAAATGACAGTTAGAAGCTGGCATATTTAATCAAATCTGTCGACAATACACTGAATAAACATGAAAACATTTTTCAGTCAAGCATTGATAAAAATGAAATAAAATTGTTAAGTCTGTTAACTTTTATTTATTTATTTATTTTAACTTTCTGTTTCTAAAATATAAAAGATAACATGAAATAATACGAGAAGCTGTCAATATTAAACAGTTTTATCATTGTTTTCTGTTTCTGTAAATTGTGATTGTTTTAATGGTTTTGAATTATCACTATTATTATGATTATTGGCTACATTTTTAAACAATGTTATTGCACGTGCATGTGTGGCGAATTTCTTTTTGGGTAAATGGGATTTCTGATCTTCAAACTGTTGAAACTTTATCAATTAAATAAAGAGAAGTGGACATTGAAAGTGAACAATTAATAAAACAAAACTTCAGAAACAGCAGTTTTTAAATCATAAAGGTGAAGATAAATATCAGTGTAAGTCCTCTTGACACGACCTATATTTCAATTCAAGGGTTTATCTTCTCACTAAATATATAGGAACAAACAGATTTGATTTAATACTTAGAGAAGTTAGCCATACCACTAGTGTCACTAACAAACGTATAATTTTCTGTCGCAAATACCACCGTTAACACCATCTGAAAACTAATAAAGTAGAAGAGTAGAAATATTTGCTCTACATTGGTGATTCACTGGCAGGATGCTCACCAGCCACACACGTAGTCCAGGTTCGACTCCTGAGCCTATGCTCTGCAACATCTCGCCTAGTAAGCTTTAAAAAGAGGAAAGGTTGGCCGTAAGGCTAGCCACTCTTTGGCGTAAAACCAACACCACCGCTGCTGAAACTCCAAAGTTTGAAGCCCTATGTTCCACTAGAAATCAGAAAAGGTCAATGATAAAAAATTATACACTTATTATTTGCATCCCTTGGAACTATTAGTGATGATGATTCTTTATGGTAGGAGGATTTCATTATGAGCCGACATCAGTTAGACAAATATTGGAAAACCTGGGAGCACTGGACAGCCAGCTGTTTCGCTCTATTTTGTGACTCTTCAGCAGTACGCATCCACCACAGGGGTTCAAAACCATGACCTTCTGGTTACAAGGCAAGCTCGTAGACCATTAGGCCACTGAGACCCGGTCCAATGGCCAACCCATGAATTCTAACTTCTGCCAAATCATGACATAGCGCAACCACTTCGCAATGTCTTCTTAGATGAGTTACTGTCTCACCTTCAACCTGCTGTGCCTCACTGGTCACGGCTTCCCACTAGAACCCCAAGTAACTGCCTGAATATAACCAGTCACTAGTGAGCATCAGATCAATTTTCAAGTATTGATTTTGTAGGGAATTTTTTTGAATGTTAGAAGGATTTCATCATGAGCTGACATCAGTTAGAGAACCATTCTTTATGCCTCACAATGAATATATTGAACATACTAAAACATACTTGATTTGACTTTCTGAATAGAAAAAAATACTCAAACACTTATTCATGTAATAGCGAAATGCTTTCACTTATTCTAGGAATGCTTAACTATGCCACCAGGAGAGCATAGTTAATTAGGTATTCTGTACCCAGTGTTTTTTTCAAGACACTCCAATCTCATGTCTACCTATGTTACCTTTGAAAATAGATGATTGAAGTATACAGAAAATAATTATATATATTCATCGAAGTCAACTATCATGTAAGCATGTTACACAGACTAATCATACCATATTTGGCAGGTAATTTTGTCTTCTTTCACTTAAATTTAGCATACGTTTACAGTAGGAAATTTCATCAGTTGCTTCTTTTAGTTTTATTTTATAATCTTCTAACTGGCGCTGTAAATTCTGTAAATCATTCTCAGTTGTATGTAATCTGAAGGACGAAAAAAAGAGAAGAGAAAATGAAGTATTTCAATATGAAGATAGAGAAATTTACTAAGGCATATTGCTGTTATTTACTGCAAAGAAGCTAATTATTATTGTTTCCATTAATTCCTAGAGGAACATAGGGCTTCAGCAGTGAGTCTCCATTGCGTTCGGTTCTCTGCTAGAGTTTTCACCTGGCTCTAAGTCTGCTCCTACGCTTTCATCTCCTCTTCACAGGAGAGCAACCCACAAGGTCGCTTCTCTCTAAACTATATTTAATGTAACAATCCCCTTCTCAGGCGTGAGGCTAGCAACCCCACCCTGTAAACAAAGTTGCTACAGAAACTTTAGCACGATGAATCTCCTTGCGCCAAAAGAAAAAGTCTATGTGGGAACATGGAATATCCGCACCATGTATGAGATTGGTAAAGCAAAGAAGCTAAGCTGTCTTCGAATTCAATAGATTCATTAACTCAATGGTTGTGCCATCCAACCGATTGAATAACGTGACACACGATACTAAAGTGCATTATTTTAATAAGCTACATTTTGAGGAAGCGTGCTAAATAGGAGAACATATTTTCAATGGTACTTTAATAGACACAGAAATAGTTAAGTATACATCTGTGGAAGTTTTCAAAATCTGAAAGATAACAAGGAATAATTGCTGTAAGGGAATAAATGTTTTGAAAATCCCTCCTGAATGATCTCATATTTCAACTAACTTCGTAATGATTTTCCGCTTTTCTCCTTGGGTATATATATCACTGCCCTAACGTTTGCATGTCATCTATTGACCTAGTCCTTATTATTTCCCTTTTTTCTTGTGTAATCGCTAATTCGAAGACTGATAGGATCCCGCATAAACTAGTATATTATCTTTTCTCACGCATATTGTGATTTACTGTGCGATCAGTCATTTTTCACGGCTGTGAGCCGACCTTATTGTGGTAAAAGTGCATAAATATCATTGTCTTTTTCCTAATAAATGTACAGTACATTATCTTACAGTCACAAGTCAGCCTTTGTCTTTTGATATTTGCGTGGCTCAGTGAATCGGAAGGTACAACGGACAAGTAGGGGTATTAGCGTACCAGTCGAGTTCATTACCGGTTATCGGTGCAGACATAACAAAGACTTCTCCTTCTGGCTGTATGATGGTGTCACAATGTGTTGTTTTACGATTTTGACTTTGTTTGAATGAATTCAAAGTTGGCCATGGGGATTTCGACCTCGGACAGTCTGCTGGAAGTGTTTGGTGTGTGATTCTTGCTGACAGAGTTTTAACTCAAATTAATGTTTTTTTTGCTGTCGTCAGGGTGCTTTGGGACCTAACTTAACTACCAGCAGTTTTGGTTAGCTGTACAGCGGAACGCGAAGATTGGTTTCGGGAGTCTGTTTTGGTGGCTGCAGTTAAATCCCTGCTATTATTAACGATTTGGAACCATATCATAAAGAGACCGGAGTCGATAAATGTTGCTAATTAAAGGAATATATATATGCAAAGGGGTTTTGTATCTTTCCGGAGACAGTAATCATTGGAAAACACAAAATCCAGGATACTATTTCACAATAAACTTGCAAAACACATACCAGAATTACTTTGATCATATATACACTTAACATACGAATGGCAGACTACTGCCAATAGAGTCTGATTAGTACTAAGTACAAGAAATTCAACTATGATATTGTAATACGGATGTGCTATTTGTATTTGTTACGTCTTCTTGATAAGCTTTGCGTACAGAAAAATAGACATTTGACTACCTAAGTGTTTCCCTGGCTTTCTACACTTATTAAGTAGGTGAGATTTTTGATTATTTGCCAGAAAAAGACAAGAAATACTGAAGAAAACATAAATCAGTCTGATTATGTATTTGTAGAATATGATTAACAAAAAGATCTACAGTGCACCTCCCATAACACTAAAATTAATCTAGAGCTAAAAGAAATAGATCAAACTGAATCGACTGAATATTAATTAAATAAACGTCTGGCCGGCAGGCGGATGCCTTAGTTATTACAAGTTTTGTTTTAATGGGTACGCATCTGGTCAGAATTGGACGTCCTCGTGATGTTAACACACACATACTCTGAGTCTGTAGTTTAGCCATACTGGCCAGATAAGTTCCAAAATCTTATCCCTAAACAACCTTGAATTTTTTATCCCATTTAAACATACTACTCAATAGAACAAATTCATAAATAACCGAGCTTGTTTTTGATTTAAATTTTGTTACCAGTGCTTGTAGTTCAGCTAGTGTATTGATTGATTGATTGAGTAATTAGACATATTATGTTTAATAAGGCTGGTATAGTATGGTATATCAGTAACACAACCATCACCTTACGGATTCATTCAGTGGACGGTGTAGACAGTAAGTACAAGTGAAATGATGAATGGAGTTTGCCAGAAAGATTTTTAAAATTGAACATACTTTGACAGTTCAGATATGCTACATAAAAGATTAGTGAATGCATAAAGCGAGAAACGGCGATTAATGTATGAACTAAGAGGTGAATATAAACACGAGTAAACACACCAAATCAAGGAAGTAACAGATACACGTATTGGCTTTCGATTCGAACAATAAGAGTAAGTGTAGGTAAGCATCACGGTCAAAAATCTTCATAAAGTTAGAATGCACTTGTTGAAAGATACAATGGGCTATTTAGTAAATAACCTTAGCAGTAAATAGTGGTTACATCGAATAAGATGTCATTTAGAACACAGAAAAATGAAAGTCACCTCATTAACTGGTTTCCACGACCGGTTAATCCAGGTTAAAAAAAGTGAAGACAAGCCTGATTCCATGAAGATGCGAAAACTCACTTCTATATCACTGGACAATCTCATTATTTCAATATAGTGTAACTTTATCTTGTACAATCAGTACAAATTGCTTAGTGAACAACTTAGCCAAATATAAGATAAATAAATATGTCTGATTGCAATGGTACCACAATAAAATTTACATCAAAATTACCACTAGAGATGTTGTCTGGAAAGACACTAGAGGCTTAGCGATTGAACCAGCCAGCTAAAAGCATATCAAAAGACAAAATACATTCACGTGATCTACAAATCTTCTCCATCATACCAAAGACTCATAAATATGCAAGTGAAAAAAGGGTTGTGCAGTTTACCTACTTTTCTAATTCTTTAAATCTTAGCAATCTTTGTTCTGTCCGTTTACTGGGATCTGTTAAATATGACCTTTGTGACAGTATTGACCATTCTTTCCATTTCACTGAAATAAAGAAATGAGCAAAATATGAGTCGATATTCAACAGAAATTGGCCATTTTACTTCAGTCTTGATTGTTAACAAAACTTTACACACAGTAATAATATATAAATATATTTATGATTACGTGACTTCCTATAGCAACATAGGGCTTCAAGAGTTTTTAACGTTTCAATAGCGGTGGCGTTGTTGTTCTTGCGGAGTTTAGTTGCTAACCTCAAACCTAACCATTCCTCTTTTCGGAGCTTACTACCAGCTAGTAAGCTAGGTGATGTTTCAGAGTTCGTTGGCAAGGAGACGAACCCGGGTCACGAGTGGTTGGTGACCATTCTACTATCGAACCATCGACGCACAAAGTATTACCGGATAGTCTACGTTTTACCATTTATTGTATAGTAATTAAATGTATTTATGATGGCACATAGGTGTACCTGCATCTCAAGTGAGTAATGAATGATTTTCCCATTGACACGCGAACCTAGCACCCTTGCTTTCAAAACCCCTAAGCTTTATCTCAATCGACTAACCTAATAATGTCCTTATGTCAAAAAATATTCAATCTGAAAAGAAATTAGGGATTCATTGTCAAATACTGAATACATATTGTGGTGGTGTGATACAGACAGTGTGTACCAACGGAATATTATTCTCACATATTCCCACAGTTCAATTCGGCATTAGCAACAGAATACAGTGTATCTGTTTGAACATTCTAATTGATGTTAGAGACAGAATACTTTTCCCACGGTTATATACTGCATTAAGAACAGAATACTACTGTACATTTGGACATTCTATTTCATGTCGTTTGATGTAAACTGAAATCACATGCTCAGTGATTGGTTAAAGAATATAAACTGTATACATATAAACAGCGGTGTGATTAATCAAAAATAAACCTTAGGCTTCCGTTTCTTGCCTTCTCTTGTTACATTATTACTCTATTCATTTCTGAATAGTTTTCAGTATTATAAAAAAATAACAAGGATACCTTTTCTGACACACTTTACATTTTATCATAGGAATTAACTTCACAGTCTACTTAGAGCGGGAACAGATATAAAACTAAGTAAAACTTTCTTGTTAAGCAATTTATTGAGCTTTACTATTGAGGACGACGTCAATAAGGTATTTAGGGTTCGAACCCAGGACCTTCTGGCTACAAGGCAAGCTCGTAGACTATCCAGCTACTGGGACCCGATTCAGTGACCAACCCATGAATTCTAACTTCTGTCAGTTCATGACATAGTCTGACCACTTCGCAATGTCTTCTTCGGTGAGTGGGAAACCGTGACCAGTAGGATACAGCAGGTTGAAGGTGAGCCGGTAACTCATCGAAGAAGACATTGAGAAGTGGTCACTCTATGTCATGAAATGGCAGAAGTTAGAATTCATGGGTTGGTCATTGGATCGGGTCCCAGTGGCCTAATGGTCTACGAGCTAGCTCGTCTTGTAACTACAAGCTCCCCGATTCAAACCCCAGTAGGGTGGTTGTGTACTGTTGAAGAGTCCCAAACCAAGACGAAACAGCTAGCTGTCCAGTGCTCCCAGGTTTTCCAATATTTGTCTAACTGATGTCGGCTCATGGTGAAATTCTCCAACCAATCAAACTAAATCCCTACAAAAATCGATAACAGAAAACATTTTCAAAAGAATAGACACGGAACAAAGAGAACTCTTTTCGATAAATTCATCATCAGGTTCTACAATTATATATACATTATAATGAATGAATGAATTAGTCTTATGAACGACATTTATGTTTAAATAACATCAAATCAATAATATTGAAAAATTACAGCTGAATAGCATCAACATCAAATAAACTGAATGTCAGAAGAATTAGGAAAGGTAATGGTACAAATTCATAAGTTTATAGTCTCTACTGAGGGCCAGAGCAGTAATAGGGGCTGGACTTGTTTCTTTTGGACACAGAGCGCTGGTTGTTTGAGGCGAATTGCAATAGCCTCTGCTGTTTGGAGTAAGCGGTGCTTCGACGATTTTGGTAGTTTGTTGGGCACCCGGTATATTATGGAGAAGGATTCGTCTACTCTGGCTTTGTGACCGGTTTGCACCAGATGGTCTAATATCGAGCTGTTAATACTTTTAGCTACACCTTTACTTAGCCATAGTGGGATATGTTCTCGAGCACGAAAATCAAGTATATGTAATTGTAGAAAACATTTTATTTAAACTTTTTAATTACAGGTTCTTTTCATCAGCTTAAAACAAATTGTGCATAACGATAAAGCGATTAAATCAAAGAAAACCAAACATATTTTAGAACTGTGTCTGCTGAGACAAATAGTTCCAACCGTTCGTCTTATGAACTGGTATGAACTTCTTAAGGAAAATAATCAAAAAAACTGAAGACAGCAAAAGACTTTTGATGTTTGAATACTTTAATAGTTCTACAAAGATCATTTTTGCATTTATTTACTTTTCACTCAATGTCCGATGTTTTTACGGTAGTCTTCGGTGAAATCATTATCAGAGTTCATGTAAAACTCGACAACAAAAATTAAGCAAATGAATCGACCAGTTTGATCAACTCTGTATTTAGTTGGACACTCTTTGTTAAGTATTCGAGGGGTTAATGTGTAAATCTCAAACACTCACTTGATTACAGTATATTTATATATATGCCTAAAAAAATAAAAGAAGTACTCTAGAGGGAGCTTCAGTCTTGCATCATAACATCATCTCTAGTTTAGACAAAAAGGCTAAATTTGTCCGCTGCGCCTTCCTAGATTATACATCTGCTTTTGACTCAGTACCTCAGGATATTCTGTTAAACAAGCTTGCTGAAACTCAAACTGAGTGTTGGGTTGTTAACTGACTTCATTTTTATTGCTCAGGAAGAAAGCTGTACACTGTATGTAAGGGGAAGTTGTCCACTTCATTGCTTTCTCAGACTGGTATCCCTCAAGGCGCTGTTCTTTCTCCTTCTCTGTCTTCTTTCTTTTTGCATGACTTGTTTCATTCTGATGAAATGGACTTTGTTGAGTACGCTGATGATCTGAATGTTTCAATGCCTGTTAACTCCCAGCTAGACTGTACTAAGATGGTCTTTGTCTAATGGTCTTAAACTAAATTCTTTCAAGTGTCAGACTGTTAATTTCAGGTTTAGATGTAGAAGAAAGTTAAACGAAGCCGTTATTATAATCATTGTATTATTGATGATGTTGATATAGAAATCAAGTCAGACGTTAAGTATCTTGGACTAATTCTTTCTTTTGATCTATCCGCGTCCTTCCACGTCTTAGCGATTTCTAGTATAACATTCCGTCTGACATTAAGAAGTTAAGGCACTCGGGCATAACTCAAACCTTCCTCTAGCAGTTTGCCAACTTTTGCATATTACCTCTTCTTCTTTATTGTTCACCCTTATTCTTTCCTGAGTTGCTGCATAGAACTCTGAAGACTGTCAGTCATTAGGGCGAGTGGTGTCCCATCGGATCATATTGTTGACATCGCCATTGATAGGCACTTGATTTCATGCAACATTCGTTAAAGAGATTTTGTCAAACTGTGAGCATCCATTTTACCAGCAACTTTCACCATGCATCTCCTCCTTAGGTAGAACAAGAAGTCATTTCAAAAGACTTTATGCGTGCACGTTTAAGCATAAAAATTCCTCCATAGTATATTTGGCACGCATTTTATGTGATGAAAATAGTGTCAAACACGAACTAATTAACCTTCCTCCCACTAGTAAATGACCAATTTTCTCCATCCTTATACCATCAAGTCTTACTGTTATTATTCCTGTTTAAATGTGTAGGTCCCTGGCTTTTTGTTTTCACAAGTGTAAACACCATTTAGACTCTGTATTAATTGTTATCTTGTATTTTTCTCCACAACATGCTACGGCAAGGGAACATTAGATTCAATATTCTATAACATGCTAAGATTTCCATACTGTATGGAGAATGTTGTTTGAAGCCTACTGTTATTATCACTATTATTATAGTTATAGTTGTTATTCTCATTTTATACTTTGCACATTTTTGATATTATTCCTACTGTAAATGTGGAAATGTTCCTGTGGTTACTTTTATTAATATTTTGAGTAAATTAGATGCAATATTATGACAAATGCTGAAAATTCCATGCTGTATTATAAGTACAGTTTTTTGGAATAAAGTGGCTTAATATATATATATATATATATATATATATATTATGTATATTAAATGACTCACACGGGTCTTCATTTGATAGCAGAGACGTTTGCATATTAAAATTTGCTGTACCAGTTAACAAACAGAATATATCCATTAGAAAATATTTCTTTATCTACATATTAAAGCAAACAAAGACAAAATAAACATGTCATTAACAAAGATAAATAAGTTTTAATGATGAATATACGTGGGGAATATTGATACCATCTCTAGGATCGAGATTAAATTAATCTGTTTCAAATCTAATCTGTTTTGCAGACGTTTTCTTTTTATATCCATTCTTTTTTTTCTCTTTTTTATTCCTTCACGTTCCCAATGGAACATAGGGCTTCAAGCTAGAGGCTTGAAGTTTCTGCAGCAGTGTTCATTTTTACGGGATGGGATTGCTAGTCTCATGTCCAACCTTTCCTCTTTACCAACTTCATTTCTGGCTTAACGAGGTAAAGGAGTGCGTCGGCCGGGTATCGAACCCCGGACCATGTGCATGGTCGGCGAGCGTTCTAACCGCTGTGCCACCGACGCTGTATCTCCATTCTGCGCTAATTTAATTTTATAGAGTCATGATCGCTATAACACCACTGTTAACTTCTTTTTTGTATTGACTATTCTCATCGTCAAAAGAATTAAACAAAACGTGTATTTATACATTATTAATATTCCCTTGGGTTCCAATAGGAATATAGGGCTTCAACAGCACATCTCCATTTCATCCTGTCCTCTGCAGTCGTCTTTATCCGGCTCCAGTCTCCTTCTAATGCGATCTCCTCCACGTCACTGCCATACTCCCATCTTGATTTTTCCCATTCGGGGTCACTTCAGGGCCTAGAGCGTGATGTATATCCTATGCACATGCATTTCTTTCGGCATACTATTTGTTAGGCAATAGGTTCATGGTTGGTTCACTGCCAGCAAGAGTTCCTTGTTACCAGTCCTTTCTGGCTGGTCATCTGATTATCAGTATGGAGCTAGCGAAGGCTGCTGATGATAAAGTTTGCGGTAGCCTGTCGGAACTGCTTTTGGTGACGCGACAAGTCACTGAAATCTATACAAGCACAGACTGACTTGACATCAGTGCTGAAGATCTGAATTTCGTTCATTATGCTTAGTGCTGTATATTTCCATACTGATTTCAGATTAGTGAAGCTCTGTCTTGCTCTCCCAATCCTTGCTAGCTTTGAAAGCCGCATTCATACCGCCTGTAGTTGAAAAGATGTTGTCTAGTCAGTTGGAAGGGGTGTCTTCCTTCAATGTTCTCCAGTGGATAGTGAATGGTGCTTGTTATTGTTAGTTACGTATTTTAATCGCTTTTGTCTTCTCTAATGTTCACTTAACTTCATGTCTTGGCTGTTTCTTTAGCCACCTTGTTGGTTTTTTTCCTGTAGACCTTTGAGTTTATGCAACATTTGACATAAATCGTCCGCGAAGCTTACTAGTTCACTAGTTTACTAGTCGGCCATTGGCGCGGAAAATGAGAAAAGGTTGAGCGTGGGGCTAGCAACTCTGCCCTGGAAAACCAACACAATCGCTACAGAAATTTCAAAGCACACAAAAAAAATATATTTTTTAAAACATTTTATTATTATTGTTCCCTTGGGTTAAAACATGTAAGAGAACAATACTATTTTGGATAAGATCTCCGTGCTTCACTGCAATACACATAGCTTTGTATATATATATATATAAACCGTGTAGAATAATAAGGAAATAATATGAATGTTCTTGATTGGACACTAGTCACTAACTAGTGTAATGTGTCTTGTCCTATCTTCGGTGCAGACTTAATTCTATCAGTCAGGCTTGCAGCACTGGGTGACGCGGGTTCGAATCTCAGAAGCGACATGAGTTCCTTCGAGGTTGCAGGTACGCCTTGCTGATGAGTGCCAACTAGCACGAAACGTAGGTCCAAGGCTTCCTGCCGATTGCCTCCAACCATTTAATATGAATGTTCGTCAAATAACTTAGGACAGTGAATTAAAATACTTTTGTGAATCATAAGTGGTAGTCATCGAATTGCATACTTTAACAGTAAAGCACCTACCAAGAATTGAAAATCATTTTCATGCAGTTTTGGTCCAATCATAGAAAAATAGTCGTGAAGTGCAGAAATTCCCTTCATCTCTACGCCTTTATTCGTTTGTTCTTTGTGAGTTGCAGTTGATCTGAACTTGATTCCTCTTTTTTATGTATTCTTATCCAACAGAGATATACAAAGGCAGCAACAAAGCAACTCAGTGTATGCGTCACACTAGTTTCAACAGGTTCAGCTCCAGCAATACATAAAATCAACTGATCCCATAAGTATAATAAAGTTGATTCAGATAAATAACCTGAAGAATAGTTTTTGAAAAACAAAGTCCGTAAAATTCTTTTGACAATGGATTGAAAAGGTGGTTCAGTGGAGTTTTTATCCTCTGGTACGATTAGAGTACTCAGTATACTGCGTTACAGGTTAGGTGAGGAAAGGTTTATGATGTTAGTGTTAAGTAATGAATCAGACTAGAACTAGAGGCATACTCCAAGTTACCAAACTTTGTGAAAACACAATAAAAATGAGAAAAAGAAATAGATAATAGTACCAGGAGGGTTTAATTTTTGTCAGGAAAAAATAGTTTTATACAGAGTGTTGAAGATCCTCGTAACTTTTCTAATTAAGGGTGAGTTCACTTTTGACAGTGTGAACAACTTTCGTCACTTTTACCATGCATGATTAACGCATATACTAGTTAAACCTAAAGATGAGGTTACCCTGACGACTTGACTTTCTACTTCGAATCTCAGCCTTACCTACGTAATCGCTTCACCTAAGGCGAGCGACAGAATGAAGATATCTAATGGTTAAAGACTTCTAATGTGTCATACCTTTTGTTTCAGCAGTTCAGTACAGTAAGCGCAGTCTTTGTAATGTAGTCCGGCATCTGGCTGAAGATAATGATAGTGCAAGTTGTAAACTGTCGTGTGGGATTTCGCATTCATTCTGATAGAACTTTTATTGGCAGAGATTCTGGTGAGATGCTATTCTTTGGTATGAACTATTACTCAAACTATCCACTGATTGTCTAATAGCCTACAGAAAGTCTCATCAGTGCTGAATATTCATGAAATTAAGTTTCTAGATTAGCTGGTAACTGGTATAAACGAGGCATCAAAAGTTATCTTGAAGAATGAAGCTATTAAGGTTGAAATCATAAGAAGCTTTGAATAATCCTATTCTCAGCGTCTATATCACTTAAAATAATCTATGAGTGTCCTACAGATCTCAAAAGCTTTGCTGGTCTGCGCTTTGCATAGCTATAATCTTTGTATTCTACTATGAACTTAGTCAACTGAATTATTCGAGCATTCATTTTGGGGTAATTTCAAGACATCAACAATAAACCTCTGGAAAACAAAGCACAGTTGATAGGTATTCTTGCACGAATTATTCCAGTAGTGCACATCCTTGACCTCGTCAGGAATTGCACTTAGGACCATCGCATTTTAAGGCAGCCACGTTACCATTGGATTAGAATAAAATTGCTCACAATCTTCAGCTTAGGCCATATCACAATGTAGATCCATCTCAAGTCGTCAGTGGGTGACCATTCCTATACATGACTTAGTAGATTCCACCGGTCACAGCTTCTTCTTAGTACTTCACAATATCTGCCAGTATAATGGTCAAACAGCAGAATGATATTGGTCTTAGGCTTCAGAAATTGTCAAAAATTGATTTTCTAATGAATTCATCGGGGTTATCTGTTAACAAAGTTACCCCTGGATTAAGCTGAGTCGTTCAACTTATGATGAGTTCGTGGATTCTCCCTGTTATGGATTAGAACAGAAAAGCCGCCTAGTGCTCTTACTTTTCTCACAAATTCTGATTTATGATAAACCATATGTGATAATTCTATTTAATGAATATAAATTTGATTTTTATTTTTCTTAATAATTTAATGATAACAGAAATACTCACCACTAAATATAGATTCAGTAACTGGCTGTATAAATTCATAAAACAGTTCTGAGTATATCTCATCTTCACTGCATAACTCGGAAATAGGGCCAATATCTAAAGTTAAATTAAAATATTAATTTACTGTCTGTTAAAATGCATAAATTAGAGCGGCTGAAATCTACCAAATTAGTTAATGAGGCGAAGTATATGAAAGGTGTTTTATGATGTCTTAAACGCTACCCTCACTATCCTTGGACGATCAAACATATAATTTCTATGGTGCCTTGTATGACAGGCATTTTATTTACTTATTTTTTTCTTTCTTTTTTTCGGTTACAGCTTGATTCCACACCGTATTTTCAGTACAAGTATGGAATTTTCAGCATGGATATCGGTAGCCCAAATTTCACAGCCCGACCATAGATATCGGGTGTGCGTCGGCAGGGGATCGAACCCCGGACCATGTGCATGGTCGGCAAGAGTCCTAACCACTGTGCCACCGACGCAAGTGTATTAGGCATGAAGCTGCTAGCTTACAGCGAAACAGTAAATAAAAGGCTCTTTATTCTTCATATCATTCATATACTGTTGTTATAAATAATGTTAATTTTAAATTTTAATTTTACATTTATATTTTGTTGACATGATCATTAATTCAAGTGTTTCCGTTAATTATTTTTCTTCCCACTATGTAATGTAAAGAGAAGGTTAAATGCATTATTGTACTACATACTGAGGATGCCACACTGTATCAAATGTACTGCTTGGAATAGAGCAGTTACTGTTTTCAAGTTCTTTCACAGATTGGTATTGGCTAGAGAACCGTTGAAATCCAGGAAGCACTGGACAGCTATTGCCTTCTTGTTTGGGATTCTTCAGTAGTACGTACTCAGGACCTCCAGGTTACGCGGCGAGCTTACTGAGCATTCAGCCACGGGAATGAAATTTTTTCTTTCCTTCACGTTCCCCAGTGGAACATAGGAATTCAAGCTTGCGACTTGAAGTTTCTGTAGCAGTGTTTATTTTACAGGATGGGGTTGCTAGCCTCATGTCCAACCTTTCCTCTTTACCAGCTTCATTTCTGGCTTAGCGAGGTAAAGGAGTGCGTCGGCCGGGGATCGAACCCCGGACCGTGTGCATGGTCGGCGAGCGTCCTAACTGCTATGCCACCGACCTATTAATTATAATTTCTGTCAATTCTCGATTTGTAACCCCGTTGCCAGCCAATGCCATCGGTGAATATCTGTCCTCGCACCTGATCTGGTGGACGAAACAACTACTCGAAAACAACTACCCAAAAGAATTCATAAAAGATATGAGAAAAAAGAGGGTAAAACCGGAGAAAAACAAGATGGAAGAATGCAAAAAGACAGTCACAATACCATATAAAAATGGTACATCAGAGGCAATTCAAAGAAACCTCAAAAGTATCGGCATTCACACAACTTTCAAACCGACAAATCTAATCAAAAATAAAACAAATCAACTGAAAGATCCCATAAAAATGATGGATAAAAACAACTTGATTTACAAAATATCTTGTGCTGACTGTCCAACTAAATATGTGGGGCAAACGTCCAGATCACTCAAAATAAGAGTGAATGAACATAAACGCCTAACCAAAGGTCAACCAACAGGAACACAAGCCTACAAAAATCTTGAAAAAATTCATCGATAGCTGCACATGTATGGGACAAAAACCACAATATCGATTGGGACAATGTGTGTATTCTAAAAACTAACATGAACAAATGGAAAGAAAGACTTATAACAGAATCGATATTCATTAAAGTCACACCGGATACATGTAACAAGGGTGACTCAGTACAACTATTAACAACTTGGAATATAATTCTGAATACAAACACATGAATGAACGTGGAATATAACTCAAATACACAAAAACAAATAAAAACATGAATGAGCAAAAATAATGAACTATATATATGAGTACAAATCATAAATGTGTGAATCAAACAATTCCAACAGTGGTGTGAACACGGGCAGTAATTTTGCTTGAAATATTACCAATAACAAAACTTATCATTGTGTGTAAACTATTTAAATATAATTATACTTTATTTGAACTGTCCAATACTTGAAACTTATCAAATCCCTACAAAGGAACACCTGAAAGCCGTTATTATATTATTATTGTTGTTGTCAAGCATTAGAATTCACCCCAATAGAAAAATCTATGATGTTTGAGTTCAGCCTTTAGTGTGTAAGTCTTTACAACATAAAAATATCAATCTTTCACAGAGTATCTTTTGATTTTCATCCCCCGAATTTCTTAATGATCTAAGCCACAGAAATAAAATAGTTACATTATTGATTCAATGGAAAGGCCATCTTCACGTTCATAATTAATTAATTTGTATTTTCAAAGATTGCTTACTCATGATTACTAATGTGACTTTCAGATCAATCTCAAAGGTAGAAAGTTGAAAATATTCATTCTTTTAGATTACTTTGCTTTAATTCAATTTATCTTCATTGAATAGGTAAGGCTTTTATTGGTGACAGATGACTAAATTAGTGGAGGGATCCGTACAGTTTGAACCCAAGCATTTTCAAGTTCTCGTATTCAAAGAAACAAGTGTTACTCATCAATTTCATATTTTAACCCCTTTACTTAGAAAGACTACAGACCCAAGAAACTCTTTATTGGGGAGAAATTAGTCAATGAGGATGAGTAACAACTGAGGTGAAGACTTATCTACATTAAGAATTCATGAATTGATTTATACCTCAAAGTGTGAGAGTGCACTCGCAAACAGTGTAACAGTCGATGGTTATAAGATGTTTTACTTTAAAAGAAGGTAAATTTATCTTATAATGATGACAATAAATATTAAATATTCTACTCACTTTTTATGCGTAGTAATTCATTCATGACGGAATCAGCAATATTTGAGTCAATAGTACGTAAATGTTTTAAGACGCTTTGACTGAATGCTATTTTCTTAATATCTTTGTTTTCGGATAGATTACTAAAGATTTCATTGTTTGTTTCATCTTCCATTTTATAAAGAGAATAACGAGTAAACCATATCGGTGGTAAATGTGTTATAAAAGACGGTATTATTGAAAGAAATATGAAGAGTTCTTGCACTAACAGACCAATAGTTTCTGTATTTGGAGGTTGATTTCTAGGATATTAAAAGTATATATAGACACAATAACTGCATGAACAAATTATATAGGCATAAACTATTATAATCTCAACATTATCTAACTAAATCTCACAGTATTTATTCCTTTGAAAGGTAAATATGATTACTCAGTATATATTTCAGTTATTTTGAATTACGATAAAGAAAGGAAGACGAAATTTGCAGTTGGGTGTTTTCTAGAAAAGAAGAAAGTGTTTATTTGTCTCCCATTCAAAGGAGATGCAGTGTCACAAAAGATTGACAAAAGACTGAAAGGTGCAATAAAAAGAAGCTTCCCGGCAGCAAAACTCATATCATTATACAGCACCACTTCTTCTATAAGCCAATCAAAACTGGATAAATACCCTGCTGATGTCACCTCCAACTGCGTTTATGAATTTACGTGCACTTGCGGGAGCAAGTACATTGGAAGGACGGAAAGAAGGGCTTCTATCCGGTTTTCTGAACATATCCCAAGAAACCTGTGCCTAAAAGGAAGCAAATATTCTCAGAGTGCAATTACCAGACATATTGTTGATACCGGACATCTCGTAGAGATTTCTAAGTCCTTCAAAATATTAAATAGACAAAGGACAGCAAATTTACTACGATTTGCCGAAGCGATCGCAATCAAACGATTTAAACCAGACTTATGCATACAGAAAGAGAGTGTGATTAACCTCTCACTCCCTTGGTAACTGAATTTTGATTTTGATTACATTAATTAGTCATCTAATTCAGTGATCTCAACTCACTGAACAAATCTTAATCTCATAAACTGTAACCGCTTTTGTTTTTTGAGTTGCTATGTGAACCTACAAGCTAACACTGTTCTGTTTGATTAATTTTTTCTGTTTTCTGTCTTACCCCCCCCTCTTTTCAACTTTGAAAGCGTATAAATTGATTATGAAAACTTAAACTAAAAATTGTAATGCTTTCATTTTGGATGCGTCACTTTTATAGTATCTCTTCTCTACTACCACTCAAACATTAAAGTATGTTATTATCATCTATATAACCATTGTAATTTCAGGCAGTCTGCAGCTGATGAGAACCTGTGAAATAGAATGATGATATCATTTTATACTGCAAATTTCGTCTTCCTTTCTTTATCGAAATTTATCAAGGGAACCAAATGTATGAAGATATTTTGAATTACATTACACACTCTTAACTTCAAATGGCGCCATGGTTGAAATTAATTTAAATCACATGATAAACACAAATCTGTAAGCATCCAAAGACGTCGCTGACTAATGACAAGAGACCAGGAGGTCGTCTGTCTAAGATTCAGTAGCTGTAGGACGTAGAAAGTACTTATGAGACTGATCGAGGTAAAGGTGACTTTCAATGACCCTCAGGAAGATTTTGTTTGTTTTTGTTTATCTCCATCCTGCTAACAAATAGTCCCTTTGTGTTTTCATATTTCTACACGTCTGTAGTTAGTTTTATTTTGTATTACATCGTACTTTTTCGCATTTGTCCCTTATGCTTGCATAATCACTAAAATAGCTCATGCCTGATTGATTAAGGTATGATTATACTAAAGTATATAGACCCAAGCGAACGACCAATGGAATGATCTTGAACAGCCAGTCAGGTAAGCCTTGCTATACAAACATCATCCTGGTCTTGTATTTCAATACTGCTTGTATAATAGGTTCTTAGTAAACAGTAATCATCCAACGTCTTGTGATAGCCAGAACACCTATCCATACAAACAAATCGATAGGTTACAAACGGTTACAGTCATCCAGCTAAATTCCTAAGTAATTCTTCTGATTTTATTGATCCGTCGGTTGGCATACATACCAATTCCTCACAAGGATTCTAGAGGCATTTGGAAAACAAGAATCTAGCGATATGAGTCAAAAAATGAAATGACACTCAGTCATCTCGATGAATCCATGTACAGAAACTGGGTTAGATTAAGCCTATGAATTTCAATGACTAACTAGGAGACATTTCTAGGACAAATAAGGAACTGCCAACCTGTACAATTACTTTTCGTTACATAACTTGTTTTCTATAAAATCTTCCTTTGAAATAACGCCTTCGGTTGTTCAAGATCATTCAGCTGGCTGTTCATGTGCTTGTCGTTAGTGAGTTGATTGAATGTCAGTTAGAAAGTAAGTAAACACCTCTTCGTTTAAAATAATCATTTCACAAAAGTTTATTCTGATTTTTTGGAAATATGTCTCAAATTTTTTAACAATATAAGAATGTTTAACCACTAATTCTGCCTACATAGTGGTTTAAAACTAGACTATAAATAGTCAGTTAATGACACCTTATTATCATTTTTCAAGAGTTTTTGGTTTGTAAGGATTAGATTTGTTCTTTTCTTCAAGTTTGACCACCGATTGATTTCAGCTAGAGAACCATTAAAAGCCAGGGACTATACAGTAAGCCAGTAATAAGACTGGCAAAGAGGGACGGTTGAGCATGAGGCTAGAACCTCATCCCGTAAAAATAATAAATACCACTGCTACCAAAACTTCAAACCTCTAGCTTGAAGCCCCTTTTCCACTGGGAACGTAAAGGAATAAAATAAATAGAAACAATAGACTTGTTTTTCGATTTGACACGGATTGATATCAGTTAGAGAACCATTAAAACCAGGGAGTACTACTAGACAGCCGTTTCATCCTAGTTTGAGACTCTTCAGCAGTACCCACCCACCACGGGGGTTCGAACCCAGGACCTTCTGGTTACAAGGCAAGCTCGTAGACCATTAGGCCACTGGGACCCGATCCAATGACCAGCCCATGAATTCTAACTTCTACCAATTCTTGATTTAGCGTGACCACCAACCAATTTCATAGGTGGGAAGTCCATCCTTACACTTGACTGGATAGATCTCACTGGTCACGACTTCTCACTAGAACTCCAGGAGACTGCGTCCTGTAGTAAGTCCCTAGAGAGCATCAGAATAATTTTCAAGAGTTGATTTGTAAGGATTAGATTTGTGTTTTTTCTTTTGGTTGGTGGTCACGCTAAATGAAGAATTGCTAGAAGTTAGAATTCATGGGCTGGTCATTGGATCGGGTCCCAGTGGCCGAATGGTCTACGAGCTTGCCTTGTAACCAGAAGGTCCTGGGTTCGAACCCCCCTGGTGGGTGGGTACTGCTGAAGAGTCCCAAACTAGGATGAAACAGCTGTCTGGTAGTACTCCCTGGTTTTTAATGGTTCTCTAACTGATATCAATCCGTGGTCAAAATCGGAAAAAACAAGTCTTATTGTCTTCTATTTATTTTATTCCTTTACGTTCCCAGTGGAAAATGGGGCTTCAAGCTAGAGGTTTGAAGTTTTGGTAGCAGTGGTATTTATTATTTTTACGGGATGAGGTTGCTAGCCTCATGCTCAACCGTCCCTCTTTGCCAGTCTTATTACTGGCTTAGCTAGGTGAAGGAGTGCGTCAGCCGGTGATCGAACCCCGACCCACATGAGGTGTGGTTGGCGAGCATTCTGCCACTGTGCCACCGACGCCTCGCATCTTATAATTCAGCATATTATCTTAGTTCAGACCAACTTCTTCCTGAACAAATAAATACAGTAATCAAAATATAAGAAACGTTTTTCTAGCAAAGAAAGATAAAAGTTTTGTAAATGCAAATCAATTAGTCTAAGATATTCAGAATAGAAAGTATAACAGTATAAATAAATATACCTTGGTAAATGATCTTTCATTGCTAAAACCAATACAGCAACAAGTTTCACACAGTAAGGTTTCAAATTATCACTTGTGTTCAATGATGCTTGATAAAATTTCAGCAAATAATTCATTGCATATAAACAACCTGATGGTGAAGAATTCAAATGTGTAAATGAAAGCATAATTTTTGAAAATAAAAACACATTTTCTTTAACCAACCTACAGAATCTTTCATTGAAGACATAGATGGAGACGATTCTAGAAAACTACTGCATTCCAGCTTGTTGCGTTCATCTCGATCGGGTATAAAACTTTGAATCATTTGTTTTAATGCATTTCTTTTAGATTTACCTGGTAGGGAATTGTGGGAAAAAATAATACCAAAATGCAATTTAAAAGCTAATAAATGTATAGAATAAACAGACATCTTAATATGTGTGTGAAAATTTAAAACAAAACAATATTTTCGGTCATTCACACATCATATATGACTTGGAATAGTAACTTGACAGCTTTTTTGTTTTAATTCCATAAATTCCAGCTAATATAAGTGATTTCCATTTTTATAGATGCCGGCCAGACTGTGTATTCTTACTCTGGACAACTGGACATCTTTACATAAACATCTTTAGGACTTTGTAATTCTACTTTTTTCAGAGTTTTATAATTCACCATGATTAACTTTATTGAATAATAACATTGGATTTATTTGTGTTCACATCTATGAATCATGAGTCAGTGGTAGAGTGTTCGCTAGCCTGACAAGTGCTTAGGGCTTCAACTCCTGTCTGACGCAGTCTTAAGCCTCATTTAGTTTTCTAGTTGACAATAAGCTCACAGAAAGGGGAAGGTTTGGCATGAGGCTACCAAACGTGCCGGGTAAAAAAAACAAAACCACAGTTACTGAAACTTCGAGACTTCAAGCCTGGAGGCCTATGCTCCACTAGGAACTTGGGCTTTAATTTTCAATTTACTAAATTTGCCTTCAAATAGAAGTAAATATTTGCAATAAGATTCAAATATAATTTGAAATTTTAAGGTTTTCGGAAACATCTTAAAACAATATTTACTAACTAATCAAAACGAAATGACATATTGTGAAAGATTTTTGGGAAAGAGACATAGTTAAAGTAAAGATCAAATGCAGTGATCAACTAGTCGAAAGATTAGTTCAAATGCCTCATGAAATTAATAGTGTCATAAAATGATTGATAATAGACATTTATAAAGAGACATTATTACAAAATCTGTCTCCAGATAATAAACAGGTTATTCGCGAAGTGTTATCCACGGATACTTCAAAAAAGTCAAGACAATAGAATATTCCCACTTACAAATATCTCACAGTATTGGCTTAAGTTTATTGCTGAGGATATTAATTATTAGCCAGCTGTATGAAGTATTATTATTGTTTCCTTTAGTTCCTAGAGGAACATAGGGCTTCAGCTGCACGTCTCCACTGCGTTCGGTTCACCTTCATCATTTTCACCTGGCTCTACGTCTGCCCACACGCCTTCATCTCCTCTTCTCATGATCTCCTCCATGTCACTCTCTCACTGACGACCAACTCGCCGCTTCCCATTCGGGTTCCACTCGAGCAGTGGCCTGGTGTGTGATGTCACTTGGTGGTTCGTTTTCTCAGAGTATGGCCAATCCACCTCCATTTCTCCCCACATTTTTGTTGCACAATTGGTTCCTGCTGGGTTGGTTCTCTCACAGAGACCCCTCCCTGTTGCTGATATTTTCGGCCGGCCATCTGATCTTGAGTGGTATTGAGCGAAGACAGCTGTTGATGAAGGTTTGTAGTTTGTTCGAAGTACCCTTCGTGAAGCGTCAAATCTCTGATCAGTATAGTAGCACTGACTTCACACTAGAGTTGAAAATCAGGATCTTATTTTTCACGCTGAGTACTGTTGATCTCCACACAGACTTGAGTGTAATGAAAGCTTGTCTTGCTTTCTCGATCCTCGCCTTCATATTCTCATCAGTTTCATCCGCCTGTAGTTGAGGTGATGCTTCCCAGGTCGGTAGGCAAAGGAGGTTGCTTCTTTCAGATTTCTCCATTTTATGCTGATTGTTGTCTGTTGTTGTTGCTGTTGCTGTTGGCTAGGAATCTTCATCACCTCTGTTTTTTCTATGTTCACCTTAATTCCTATCCCTGACGCTTCTTCTGCTATTTTGTTGCTTTTCACTTGCATATCTTCCAGTTTGTGGGAAATGTATGAATTATAGAAAATCAATTACGTTAGGTTCGATCTAGTTAAACTTTGAAATTTAGCACCGGAAAGTAAAACTCTTATATACCTTATTTAATTTTATATTAAAGTAATATTTGAAAAAAGGTATGTCATACGTAGTGGTACATTCATGTCTGTAGTAAAAGCATCTATACTTTAGTGGTTATTATGTATTTTCTTTTAGTGAGGCGTTTTAGATAGTTTCAAAACTATTCCTTGTTGTACAGTTTAGGCTGACTGACTTCTAGCTTAAAAGATAAGCGAACATATTGTAACCAGATTCAACTGGTGAACTATACTGTGTTGTTTAAGGCTTCATTAATGCCCAACTTCTGCCCGTAATAAGTACATATTATACTTGTTTGTAAGATTTTTGCATCTTGGCAGCACCGTCTCAACTACAAGCAGCACATATGAGGATATCAACGCCAATGAGGATCGAGAAAGCAAGACTCTGAAGTCGGTGATGAGATCTACAGCATTCATTACAAGCAATAAGATCAAAATTTTTAACACTAATCCCAAGTTGGTACTTCTTCGTGGTTAGGAGACTTTACAGGCGCTTAGTTAAAAACATTCCCAATCGGCCACCGCAGAATTTTTATCAGATGGCCAACTGGCAAGAGCAATCATCAAGGAACTCTAGTAGGCAACGAACTAGCCAAGAAAACTGCCTGTCAGCAAATATGCAGAAGCTGATAGACCTGGACTGGATGACACCTTAGGAGACCGTTGAATGGTACCGTGCTCCAGGCTATGGTTTCAGTAGGACTTGAAGGGGAGTTGATCATCCGAGTGAATAATGGAGGAAATTGGATGAAAAGGAAATGAAAGATTATGGGTAATTGTTGAATCAAGTGTTCTCTGTAGAGAACAGAGAATTGAAGACATTTTGTTTAGATCGAATTGAAAAGAACAGAGAATAATAAATGAAAAGGTTCTAAAATCTATGATATAAGCTGTTATTATCCTCATTTTGAAAACAAAAAGTTCATTACTGATTCATGGAACTGACTGCCTTTTCTTTCCTAATTTTCATTATTCTCAGTTATTGTCTGATTTTAATACATCGTGATGGTAAAACTACTAATATTTATTTGGAAACGTTGTACATTTAATTTGTGCAAAATAGTTTTAATTGGTTGTAGGATTTCATCATGAACTAACATCAGTTAGAGAACCATTGAAAACCACTACGGAGTACTTGACAGCTGTTTCATCCCAGTTTGGGATTCTTCGTCAGTACGCATCCACCACAGGGTTTCAAAACCAGGACCTTCCGGTTACAAGGCAAGTTCGTATATCATTCAGCCACTGGGACCCGATCCAATGACCAACCCATAAATTCTAACTTCTGCCAAATCATGACATAGAGTGACCACTTTGCACTGTCTTCTTCGATGAGTTACTGCCTCACCTTCAACCTGCTGTACCCTACTGGTCACAGTTTCCTACTCATCGAAGAAGACAGTGCAAAGTGGTCACTCTATGTCTTGATTTGGCAGAAGTTAGAATTTATGGGTTGGTCATTGGATCGGGTCCCAGTGGCTGAATGGTATACGAACTTGCCTTGTAACCGGAAGGTACTGGTTTTGAAACCCTGTGGAGGGTGCGTACTGATGGAGAGTCCCGAACTGGGATGAAACACCTGTCAAGTACTCCGTAGTGGTTTTCAGTGATCTCCTAACCTAAAAATCAATCAGATTGCTACAGAGACTTCAATGCACAAGAAAAATGATGAATACAGGAGTAAGCCAAGGCTGACTGCTATCACCAACAGTATTCTTAACTGTGGTCGATGGATTATTTGACAGACTTTGGGTAGTGATAAAACAGGAATACGCTAGACCGATAAGAAGACTCTAGAAGATTTGGATTTCGTGGATGATTTATGCTTAATGTCAGACGGACTGGAAGAATTGCAGACGAAAACCAGCAAACTAACAGAAGAGGCAGGCTGACAGGGAAGACAGGACTCCAGGTGAACATAGAGAAGACGGAGGTGATGAAGATAACCAGCCAACAACAACAAACAGCACCAATCACTATCAGTGGGAAAAACTTGAAAGAGGTTACTTATTTCACTTATCTAGAAGGCATTGTTTCAACCACAGACGGAACGGATGAAGATGTCAAAGCCAGTCAGAGTTGGAAAGGCAAGGTACACCTTGATCAATCTGAAATCAGTTTGGAAGTGATGTGCACTCAGAATAAACAACAAGATTCGGATTTTCATCACAAATGTGAAGTCATTTACTTCTATATGGATCAGAAAATTGCACTCCATGTCAAGAAAGGCATTTCCAACAAGTTACAGACTTTTATCAACAGTAGCCTTCTCTGGCTCTATATTGCAGAGCAAATGGCTAAGCAGAATGAATTAGCAACAAGGAACTATGGGAACAAATTAACCTAGAACCCATTGCTCAACAAATACGTAGAAGAAAATGGAGATGTATTGGGCAGACACTGAGGAGATCGCTAAATGGCATCATACGCCATGCCATCGCTCGAGTGGAACGCGAATGAAAAATGAAGAGTTGGGCGTGAGTCTGAGGAGGAGATGAGAGATTATGGGTAGTCGTCGACCCAGCTGAGGAGGAAAGCATAAAATACAAAAAAGGATATGTGCCGTTGAAGTGCTATGTTCCATTTGGAACCCAAGGGAACAATGATAATCATAATAGATCGATTAATGCTCACATCTAGATATTAATACAATACTCCATATTTTTCGACGAAAGCTTGAATTTTGAAAAGATTGATTAAAAAAGCGTGAAGAAATTTTGTTGACTAATTCTGTATGATTTCCAAGTAGATGAATAAGTGCTTCATTTACTTCCGCTGTCATATAATCGGATTTACTTAGATAGATTGTCGACGAATCCGACTGTAAACTACCACCATAAATGTCTTGATCCCATAATTGATGATTCAATGGATTCTCTTGATGAAACTTGTTGTGCAAGTAAGCAGTTGACTGTTTCAATGATATACGATGCTCCATTGAATGATGAAGATTGTAGTTGAGTAATTGATTTAATCTGGCTGACATTGCTTGATAGGTGCTACCTTAAAGGTAAAAAAAAATCAATTTGAAAGACTGAAAGAATTAGCATTTTACAGTTATATATGAAAAACGTTTAACTAGCAATCAGCTGTTCGGACTAGAACTTAAAATGCGCTTGTTTTTTGTCAAAAAATCACGAAATCAGTTTAATGAGTATAATTTGAACTGAGAGAGAGAGAAGAGATAGACAGACAGACAGAAAGAGCAGACGGACTGATTTTGAAAGTCACTTAAGATGAGAATCACTAGGAAAAATGTCAGCAGACTTTGACTCCCTTAATAAGATTAATGCATAATTAATCACTCTCCATCGTCTTAGTTAGTATTTAACGCGAGGCTGATGTCTGCTATCTAATTAGTGAACCGATAGATAGCTCAAATTGGCAGAAGAAGCATCAAAGATAGGAATTAAGGAAAACATAGAGAAAACAGAGGTGATGAAGATTCCTGGCCAACAGCAAGCAACAACAACAGACAAGAATCAGCATAAAATGGAGAAATCTGAAAGGAGCAAACTTCTTTGCCTACCGACTTGGGAAGCATCACTTCAACTACAGGCGGACGAAACTGATGAGAATATGAAGGCGAGGATAGCGAAAGCAAGACAAGCTTTCATTACACTCAAGTCTGTGTGGAGATCAACAGCACTCAGCGTGAAAAATAAGATCCTGATTTTCAACTCTAGTGTGAAGTCAGTGCTACTATACTGATCAGAGACTTGACGCTTCACGAAGGGTACATCGAACAAACTACAAACCTTCATCAACAGCTGTCTTCGCTCAGTACCACTCAAAGCAGTGGTAGGATAAGAGATAACTTAAAATGTTTTTCTACTAACTGTCTCCTAAAGAAGGTCTATACTACAGTGAACAGACAGATAAACTTCGAAATCTTCTAACAAAACGTAATTTCTAGAAATTGTTTCTTACATAGTAATATGAATTATTAAAACTCTCTGACAGTGTTGATATATATATATGGTCTCAACGGTAATATTACTTTCAAGCGCCAACACAGTTATTCACCTCACACCATCTTATTACTATTAACATCTCATAAAGTTTGCCAACCACCTTTGATTCTATTTTTCGTTCTATCCTTATTTTTGTTACCTGCTTCACTAATATCATTTTGATTAGTTTGAACTACTATTCTGCAATAACACACTCATTAGACTCAATATCTTTAGTATCCTAAGTCGGACAACAGAATACGCGTTGAGATTTATGAATAAAAATTCAGCTACTCACTGTATTTGATATAGATTCAATATGCAAGTAATCAAGTCTCTTGCACAGGAAATCACCAACGGCCTCCAACTGTTTCTCAACACAGAAGTACTAGAAACTGTCAACTAACCAGTCAGAAGATACTTTTATTGGATGTTGCGAAAGCAAAACTTATGTAAATTAGATAATTGTAAATTAGATAAGAAATAAAAGTAATAAAACTGGATAGGGAGTTTGTGAGCTGTGAATGAAGTGTTAATATTTCAAACGTTAATGAGTTGAAAGATTTATATGCATCTAAACGTCATACACATGTTTTCAGACTAACTTCTTAAGCACTTTGGCATCTGCTGAATGATTCTGTGTCTTGAATTAAAATTGGAAATACTATAAGATTAAGAAAATAACATGGACATTGTGGCCATGCGACGAGATACATATATCTACCAATAGAGCAGTATGTGCACTGCGCAAAATATCATTCTGCTTGCTATACAGTTATCAGAAACAAGCATTGAAAGTGGGAGATAAAAAGTAATTGGTAGGCTTTAACCATTCATTCGTTCATTTGATCATTTTGGATGAAGGTTAGTGTTACTGTTAGATGTGGAGTGTCAGTTTAACAAGTGAATCTCTATCCATTGACGTTACTAGGACATGTGTAACTCTCACTGATCTACCCACTTCTTTAAAGATACTGATTCATATCACAAGCAATCCACAACCTTTTGTTCTTACTATCCTAAGGACTGCAGTCGGACAACTTAAACCTAAATATGTGGAACAGGCGAACAACCAATAACTTCATAATATTTGCGCATTATTTTGGTCTGATCAATTTCGAATTCTTTTCTTTTTTCTTTTCATTTTGTATTATCCGTTGAAAAAGCCTCTATCTAAATGTGCTTATTACACCTTCCAACGATCTGGACACACAAACTTAGCTACCCAATTACCTGCCTGATCCCACAGTCTTAGTCTGGTTTTCAAGTTGCACCACCAAAAGCAATCTGCCGAACAAAAACACCACTATTCACTTTACAGCCGCAACTAGTTGCTTTATTAATCTAGTCAATACTATATCACCACTATCCTAAAACAATCCTATGGTTAAACTATGATATCCTCCCTTTGTTCCTCACATTAAGTGAGAAACAACTTTCAGAACTTCGACCAAATTGGTGAACTGATATCCATGTTCCACTCATGTTGGTGTTGTTTGATTTATAATTACAAGCCGTCTATCTTCTATTCAAACTGTTACTCAAAATGCTTACTTACGATTTCAGTTGTTCCAGAGGCCTTTACTTCTTGCAAATTTTAGAACCCACTGAAATGAATGACTCTGCAGCGGTTAGCAGCAGCGCGGCTATAGGCTTTTACTGATTATCAATATAATGAGTCTTTAACATATAAGACCGTGTATATTTCATTGATCAACTTAATAGGAAGGGACACTTCGACTCTTTGTATCTTATATTAGTTCGGTTGTAGACATGGTTACAGCACGCATTAACATTCTGGAGAGAGTGGCAATCTTCCACCAGTCTCCAGACATATTACACTCTAGAAAATTTATTTGTGCCCAGGTGAGCGCTTCGAAAAGGAGAGTGGCATTCTACATTGTGAAGTAACTTCTGCTTTCGTTGTGTAAATCGCATCAGAAGCTTTTTGGTTTACTTTAACTGGCTCAATTAGTTGATGTATTGTTTTCTGCACGCATTTGTGACTTTTTTGTGTGGCTTTTATGTATTTGTTTTAGGTATATATATATATATATATATGTCTGGGTAATTTAAACAACTTATACCTACATGGGTCTCACTAATAGCTGTGGACGACTGGACTGACACTTTCAGGTGGACGATGTGATGCAGTGTGATAACCGAAATTTATGGTTTCATAAAGTTTGCATTGGCTTATCACCATCAGCGTATAGCAGATGCAGCAAGCCATCGTCTCCGTGGGTGTGCAAATTTTGTAGTAGCCCGTCGAACGTCCTCATCCAAGAGGCCGTAGGACTTCTTATGTGCAAAAAGTTGACAAAAGACTCAGATGAGAGTAAAAAACCGTCATCTGGAATGGATGCCATGGATGAGGATTCTGGACTGAGTCATAAGACTGAGATAGAACCACATCCTGAAGCGAAAGACACCAAAGAGGTACAGTGTGCTCAAACTCTGCAACAGTACGCAAAAAGTTCCGAAAATCTAAGAGGGCAAGCAGTGCCAACATTTTAAAACCACCGGGAAGCATTGCTAGTCTGGTGGACGCATGGTTTCCAGCTGCGGAGAGAGCAAAGTGGGAGTAACTTAGCTAGTGCCAAAAATAGAAAGCTGAAGAACTACAGGAACGAGAAGAAAAATGGGCTTAGTGATAAGGTCTCGACGGCCGTAAATACTAATAAGATTGCGAAACCTTTTGACTCAAATTACAGTTTCGCAATATGGAACTTGGAGGGATCAAAGAAAGTAAATCCAGCTGCCCGATATGCTGATGATCTCGAAATAGTTAGCTTCATCATTCGTGAAGTACTTACTGAAAAAAACAAATGGAGTTCACATGAGAAAAGTCATCAGAATCGGTAAACGAAATGCCGATGCAACAGAAAGTTCCTCACGACTGCTGAAGATAGTACTGGGGAACGGGATGGAGAAAAGCATTATTCTCAGCAACACATTCAAGATCAAGGACAAAAAGATGAGAATAAGGCCCAACTTTCCCCTGGAAGATAGAATTAAGAGAAGAGAAGCTGTGGCTGAATTAAACGCCCGACTAGAAAAAGGTGAAAAAGACCTTAAACTGTTGGGTTTTCGGGTAGTGAGGTCTTGGAGACCTATGTCGTCCAGACCTCTGTTCATAAGTCGAGTGAACACGTAGGTCTCTCAGTATGCTATACGAACGCGTGTAGTTTTAGGAATAAACTTCCTGGACTAGGAGTGTTGTCTGAAGGACTACAACCTGATGTGATTGCTATCACTGAAACATGGTTGTTAGTGGGTGTAGGCTTAAGTTCACTCATACCTGGGTACATCTGCATTAGAGCAGACAGAGTAATTAGTTGGAAAGGTGGTGGGGTTTCCCTACACATCCAGGATGACAAAGTAATTAGATAAGTGTTGACAGCGGCACTAGTGAAGCCGCAAGCTGTGTCATTAATTATAGGAGTCCTGCCAGCCGAGCTGACGACTTCTTACTAAATCACCTCAGGACGTGGAGTAGTAGAAATAGGTGTTGGATAGTAGGTGACTTTAATTGATCGTGCCTGTAAAAATGGCATGCATTTCATTTAAGCTTACCCGTTTATACGAAATATATTATTATTATTTAATGCCCCACATATTAATTGGGAGGATTTAACATCAACTACCTTGTACACTTGTTTCAACAGGGAACTCATACTGACAGTGCTTGAATGCTCACTTGTGCAACATATAGATGCACCAACACGATACCATCTTGAACATGATCCGTCTGTTCTAGACTTGATGCTAAGACACCAGACATTAGGTGACTGGTGCCGCTAGGCAGTAGTGATCATATAGTTATCACTTTTACGTTTAGGATTCACGCTGTCATACATAGGTCAACAGATGCTCGTCCAAAAATTCGGACAGTAAATATACCTACAATCCAAAATGCAATAACCGTAGCTTACTGGTCTGTTAATACACAGCAGACTGTTGAGGAAGCTTGCATGGAATTTTGGAATACTTTAGATTGCGTCACTTCACCCTTTGCACCTTGGTCTATCTT